TTTAGATACCCATTGTATAGCTAATGAATTGATCCTATTTTTAAAATTTTAAATAAGTGACAATTGTGCCAAAGTATAATTTTTAGTTATTGAGGTTAATTATACATTAAAATGGGTCACCTTTGTGTAGAATCTATAAATAATAGCATTTTTATTCTCATTTGGTCCACATTTTGAAAAAAAAAAATAAATTTTAATCTAACTATATGAAACTAATTAAATTACGAGTATTAAAATTAAAATTCTAAAAGTGGCGGTGGATGCGAGAACAGAGCGTCTGCCTTCCACGCGAAAAGCCCGGGATAGAATACGGGGTGAGGACTCATTAAATTAATTTTTTTTTGTTTGTTTATTTTATTTTATAAATTAGTAAAATTAATAAATTATTTTAAAATTAGTTGTTTTGTCTTATTAACCTAAAATATTTTTTTAAATTTATATCGTAAGTAAGTGGATCGTAAAAAATATACTGTATGAATATTTTAAACTTATTTTTTAATGCTTCTTTCGTGGATCAAACATTTGCAGGAATAATTGGCGACAAGAAATCTGGGTACTTAATTGCCTACATACGGTTACTTGTAAAAACTGGCACGAAATAAAAGACTACGTGACAATAAATTGAATTCGTGCTTCTGTCAGTAATTTTGCAGAGGGCAGTACTTAGTTATTTTCTTACGGTTAAAAATATGTAATGTTTTTAACATTAACTATTTCCAGATACCTTATTTATCCAGATGGATTACAGTTTACTTAAAGTTTTACGAGGGCAGTCATTTAATTAAAGAATTTTGTTTTGTCCAGTCTAAAAATTATAAAATCGCAAGGACATTAATCTGAGGAGTAGAGTACTAATTTATGTTTTGTATGATGTTGCCTTTTAATTTATTGTCTGTATGAGGTAAATAAATTTCGTGCATCATATTAATATTATAAAAATAATATAATAATAAAATATAACAATTCAGGTTTAAACCTCTTTGGTGTAACGTGCATATTTGGTAGTTCGAAATACTAGATTTTAAATTCTGTCCAGTAAACGAAAAAGGTTAACCGTTCTAGATTGCTGATATAAGCTTTTGGATGTCAGTTACATTATTTAATTTTCTCGAGGTATAATACTAAACATATAAGCGATTTCATAACGACACATTGATCTTTTGTTAAAGTAAACGTATAAAATCTGTAACTAGCCAGTTTGAGCCAAAAATATAGCAATTAAGGTATCGGAGTCAATTATTGTATATTTTAGGTACTACGAATAAATTAAATAAAACTGTTTTTGATATTAAAAAATAAATAATTAAACAGATAGCCGCAAGACAGAGAAAGTTGCCAATACATACTGCTAGTTTTTAATAAATATTGACTTCAAAAGCTTGTATTATCAATCTAGAACAGTTAACCTTTTAACGTTCATTAGACAAAAGGTAAGTAGAATTTAAAATCTAGTATTTCAAACTGCCAAATATGCACGTTTCATAAATGTGGCTAGTTGGTTACTAGGTCACTTAAATTTAGTCAGAGTCATTCCAACAAATAAAAATTCAAAATTCGCTCTTTGCTGAACTGAAACCCTTGAGGCATTTTGGTACTTTTATATACAGAGTGGCCCAAAAGTCTGGAAACGGCCAATTATCTCGTAAATTGCTAGTCCTAATTGTACAAAATTTGGGGTACACCTATATTGGAATACGGAGGTTCCAGATTTGATATATGCAATGTTGCCAGATTTGCCGTTTTTCTTATAATATTAGTCACTTTGGTTTTTAAAATTCATCACCCTGTATATTCAGTCATTATTTGAATCTCCTATTCAATACGAGTTCAACCATAGATTAGATTAGATTAGGAGTTGGACGTTATTTGTCCTTGTCCACCGCGACCTTTTCAGATCTATTGTGGGACTCCGTTTGTTTTAGAGTATGTCGTCTAGCCTGGTCTTTTTTATTAGACTTAGTAGCTTTGACAGTGGCTCCCGCATGTAGTTGCATGCAATTGGCTTTTCTTCGCCCAATGTTAGAAACCTCATTCCAGCCAAGCCTTCACATTGGCACAGGACGTGGAATGATGTTTCCTCTTCTTCTTCACAGAACCTGCACAAAGTTGCTTCTTCTGCTGGATTTATGACACTCATGTGCCTTTTGAGGCGACAGTGTCCAGTAAGAAGGCCTACTGTTATCCTAACGATTTGACGTTTTTGATCCAGTAGGTCTTTCGTAAACTTGGCCGATGGTTCCTTGATGAACTGTTTGGCCTGTCTCAGTCTTGGATAGTTGTTCCACCATTCCTGAGACTCTTTTTGCATCCATTGTTTAATGGATGCCTTGCACAGTGCCTTAGCGACTCCACAAAAGGGTTCAGGGCCTGTCATGGCCTTATCTGAGCCTTCTCGGGCTAATTCGTCGGCCTTTTCGTTGCCCTGATATCCCTCATGGCCTGGAACCCAGGCTAAGGTCACCTTATTTTGACTACTTAGCTCTGTCAGGTCTTCAACCATATGGAACACTTATGATTTTATGTAGTCTGGAAGGACTTAAATAAATAAAAGAGAAGTCTGGCGACGCCTAATTGTCTCAATAAATTATTTAATACAAACTATTTTCAACTACATTAAAACGTAACAATTGTAAGATTACAACATTTTTAACATGATGGTTACTTTATCAAGTGTTCAAAATGTGCTCCGTTTGTGAGTTGACAGTACCCTAATCGATGGTAGAATACGTCTACCACATTTCCCCATGATTGTCTAGAAATTAATCGAGATTCATCGAAAATTCGTTGCCTTAGCTGGTTAAGTTTTGTAAACTGAATTTTTCAAGTATCCCCAATAAAAATAATCTTTAGGATTTAACAATGTAAATGGTAAACACATGTCAAAATCACAGCATTCTAGATTTAAACATTTAAATTTTTTCACATCTACATATTTTGCATTTTTTACAGGGTGATAAATATGAAAAACCAAAGTGACTAATAATATAAGAGAAACGGCAAATCTGGCAACATTGTTAATATCAAATCTGGAATCTCCGTATCCCAAAATAAGTGTACCCCAAATTTTGTACAATTAGGACTAGCAATTTACGAGGTAATTGGCCGTTTCCAGACTTTTGGGTCACTCTGTATGTATTTTATATTTATGTAAAACTTCTATGTAAATATGTATTTTTTTGTTAGATTTATAAATAAGACACGATTTTCCTATATGGTTCGAGAAGATTTTAGTGTCCCTGCATTGTTCTTGAAATGTATGACACTGTCCCTTAATGTAAGTTTTTTGAGAAGACCCCAACAAGGAGCTTCCTAAAAAAATCTTTAATAAGATCGAGTCTCATTTTATTTTATAGCTATAGGTGCTCTAATGGCTTTACTCGGGCATTCACCATCGGATGGTAGAAGCACACCACTTGGCCACTGCCCAAAGATGGGGCACATAGAAACACATCTTGACAACGTTATTATCCTGAAGGACTTTGACCTGAGAGGATGGCTATTCCTAGACACCCCCAGCGACAACCAGTAGATTTTTCATGAGTTTATATCCTGTAGGACTTTAACGAGCTGGGAAGATGGCTGTCTCCAGACACCTCTCAGCGACCACCAGCAGGTTTTGACAATTTAAAGGGGAGGCTTTATATGTTCCTCCCACACCTTACAAATACAAAGCTGTGGGTGCTTTGAAGCAAAATGTGTGTTTTGTTCTTATTGCTTTAAACTTAAATCTATAACGCCGACTCCAGACTCATCCCGCGAAATACCATGAGGCACCGTGAATGAGAGTGTGTATAATTTTCGTGGACCCTCATTTTACAATGAATTGGACAAGGTATAACAGACGCGCGAAACAAAGGCGGCTGAGCATTACCTACTCCGTGACCCGACACACAGTACGTACGATTTCCACCTCGTTAAAAAAATACTGGTTTTATTTCCAATATATTTTTTTAATAAGTGTCTTGTATGTATAAGTCGCTGGTGTGAGAAAAATTGGGTACTTCTTGTAGAAATAAATTGAGAGTTTGGGTAGAACACGAAGTGTTTTTATTAATCACACATGAGGTACAACGAATGTCGCTTTTGTAGATTGTACGTATTAGGTACAATCAAGTTGATCGTTGCCATTGCCAATTTGAATTAATTTGGTTGTTTATGAAGAGCTTTAATATTAACGTGTATAGTGTGTCTCGACTGTCTGGTTAAAAAGCTTCTATCTTCTATCGAGCTCGTTGTCTGATGTTGAGTAACTGGAACCGAACTGAGTGTCCGAGGCATAGTTGACGCACCACATTTTTTTACAGTAGTGGGAGGTTGTTCTGGCGAATGAAGTGCTTCATGACATAAGAAATACGTCACTTGGGGTGCGTTAGCTATGCGCCGGACACTCATAAGGTCCCTATTCTAAGAACTACTTGAGAGAGAGAGAGAAAGTGGGTGAGACTTGAGTTAATTGCGCTATAAAAAACGTGTTTGTCAAGTATTCACAGATGGTTAGAAATGTTTTAGTGAAATAAGGCCGTATTTACACATGCAAATGTTTATTTTCCCTTATTTTAAAAAGTTATTTGTAATTTATGACTTAACATTAAGATTAAAAGAAAAAGAAAATATTTGATAATTATGTTGTAATAAACGTAGAAGTAAAATATTAATTTATTTACATTTTTCTGGTAAATGTATAGAATTTAACCACTCGTCTCTAATAGATTTAGCTTAGATAATCTATTTGAATTACCGTACCATATATCAGATCAAGATATTACATTTACGAGAATAAAATCAAATTCAAACTTGCAGTAGCCATGTGTGAATAGTTTATTTCCTAATGGATAAAGTGACGTGGCCAGAAGATAAAGTGATACATTGCGAAACCGGTCGTAGTTTATAAAAAAATACATATAATTTTGAGATTTAAAGGACCATTTTTCTTTTCTACCTTTTAAAATTAAATTATTTCTCATTCCACCTATTCTAAAATAAACGAGCTTTTTACTCACCTCATTATAATAAGGACAGTTTGTACTTTCTTTGACGCTGGTATATTTTTTCTGATCTCCCACTTGTATGCAAACAACGGGATCCATGTTGAGCCCCGCAAGTTGTCTCGCTTCAATTATTGTCAAGCATACTTGAAAATCTTGAGCTTTTAAAACAGATTCAACAGCAGTCTTCATGTCAGTTTTAATCCTGAAAGAAACAAAAATAATAAATTGGTGAGTGAAAGAGAAAACGCAGTTTTTTTAAATACAGATGTGAACTATTTATCAATATTCCATATCTCGTTGAATAGGTATTTTATCTCTCTTGAGAAGTAACAAAATGTTATTTTTTATTAAATTACTTTTTTCCCCGGGAAAAAAGGAGTAGGTGCTTTTTCTCGGATGTGAATAGAATACTATTTAACTATGTTATTTATAATTAGATAAATTTATAGAAGGCAAAAAAAAACAAAATCGTTACAAAAAAACCAATGTAAGATTTAAAGTTACAATCATCTAACATACATAACATATAATCTAAATCAATGAAATAAAATACGTATATTCTTAAAACCTCCCAGGCAGCACACATTAGTATAACTAACGTATTTTATACGTAATACTCGTTTAATTTTGGTATTGGTTGATTCCGTATACGTTTACAATTTACGATTATTATACATACCGTGTTTTAAACGATATATTATACGTTTTTTATATACAACCTATGGTATATAATTGTAAATTTTTCTACGTTTAAATGTAGTTAACAATATACGACTATTTTTAATTTGCTATGAACTATTTATATACAGTGGGCCTAAATATACGTTTAGGTTTATTTAAATTAAATTCGTATAAATTTACATTATATTACAATATGTTTTCTTCGTTTATAATTCCCGTTTAAATTTCGTCTTGGTTGATTTTTTAAACGTTTACCATCTACCATTTTTATACTTAACGTTTTTTAACAGATAAATTAAACTCTTTTGTTTGTCGATACTAGTTAATATACCTATATTATTCTACGTTTAAATATAAGTCACCTTAATCGCATAATACCAGTTTATGATGAACTAGTAGACAGAAGTTAATAATATGTATATATTTAGGTTTATTTAAATTAAAAGCTTATAGATATATTTATTTACATTACATCCATATTTTTTTAATTATATTACCTGTAATATTTATAACAAATTCCCCATACACATGGAACTATTTTTAGATGGCGGATGGAGGATGACGTACTAGTGGTACGGTCTTTTCTCATTCCTACTCATGCGTATGTGTAGTATTATTGTTTAGTGTAGGGAATGGTTTGTGGGAGCAGGTTCATCGGTTGGTCCATTTTCATTTGTGTACACGTTTTGTTACATGTTGCTTTGGCGTCCTGGCTTTTACGATATTGATTAAAAGCATAGGTAAGTTTCTATTAATGTTTTAATTTAGCTACTCCTTTAATAATTGTTGCATTTTACAACAACTACTGTTTTATAGGTACGTACAGTGTGTTAAATGCTTATAGAAACTTCAATACCTAACCTTACTTTTCTTTTATTTTTATACGTATGTTTAGGTTACCTAGTTAATCAAAGCATACTTATTTTTCTTTTTTTCGGTCAGTTGTTTTTTATTTAAAAAATGTCTAAAATAACCCTATCTCTGCGTCATCTACGTAGAAAAATAGCGTAAAATGTTCAAGATGCTTTAAAGTCAAAATCAATTTTTTTTATTCCCAATGAAAATAACATTATTAAGACTTCGGACATTAATATATCATCTGATTCTATTATTTATAATAATTTCCAAGAAAATAATACAAATTTAACTTCGGAGCTTTTAGAAAATATTTCACCTGAAATTTAGTTACATTTTGGTTGTAGGAATGGGGGTGAACCAAGCGACTTAACCGACCGAACGATTAGGTGTGCCATGCAAGATTAGCTTAAGTTAGCAAAGGCCCGTCTAGGACACAACACATCCAAAGTGTTAAGCTAAGATTTTTATTTTCATATATATTTTTTGTTAGTTAAAGAAAAGTTTCGTTTAGTTTGTTATTCAGTATTTTAGTGTTTATTTTTTTGTATTTATTTATTTTTTAGTATTTTATTGTTTATTTTTTTTTTAATTAAATATTGTTCTGTACATATAACAAGTGATCAAAAAAATTTTCTAAATATTTAGGCCAATTACAACCAAAATAGAAACACGAGTAATGCCTATTTCTGGTATATACACACTTACTATGGATAAAATCCAAACTAACATTTACGAAAAACATTTTTCTATGGCCTCTTTTATTAGAAATTTTGTTCTGATCACTTTATTTAATTTGTGTTTGAAATACATTTAAAACAATATCAGGTAGACGCATTTTACACATTAATAAAAATCATACAAATATATCTAATATAGACGTATAGTAAAACAGGATAATTAAAGGTAGATAAAGTAGTAATGTTAGACGTATAAAAAATAAAAAAATATACGTTTATAAGGCGGACATTTTCACGTATATATTGAGTAGCATATCAACAGTATCCATACGTATATTGTAGTACATAAAAAAACGTATTTTATACCAAAGTGAATTCGTATAAATATACTACAACTATAAATCTAATATAGACGTATAGTAAAAACGTTTAATTATAGGTGGATAAATTCTAAGTAATCGACGTTTATAAGGCGGACATTTTCACGAATATATTTGGTAGTACATCAACCGTATTCATACGTATGGTAGTACCTAAAAAAATACGTAATTTATACCAAAGTGTGCTGCCTGGGCTATTGGTATAAAGATAAAAATGCCTTAAAATGAATCAATACTAAAATTTTTTTAGGGGATCTTGAATGAGACCCAGGGGGAATGAATCTTCAACAGGGATTTAAAAATTCAGAAATATGATAAAAACTGTGGTTTTTAAAGTACATATTCAATAATTTTTTAAAGTAAAATAAGTTTGTCGATTTTAAATTACTAGGAAGTGCATTATATAGATATATGATCGACTACGGTAGCGCAGGTGTCTACGGCGTCGCATTCATTTGCGAGCCAATTTTCTGGTAAAACGAGACACGGTTTCGAATCCTACGGAAGACCATGTGAATTTATTTGTATGGTCACACGAAAATTATTGTTTTAAAATTATATATTTATATAAATGCTACAATTATTTGAAAAACATGAATTGATCAATTATTTGTACAATGTAAATCTGACTTTGGGATTGTCGCCCGATCGAATCGATACAATAACAAAACAATATGGTTATGGTTGCTGATGAAAACATGGTAAATACTTTTTTCTACACCCGTATTATAATAATGCACTTATATGCCCATAATCCGTTTCATAATGATACCCATTATGATACAGATTTTTCATTATGATACAGATTTTTAATCAATAGAAACCTACAATTTTTCAATCAAGCATGATGTTTGACGTTTGTCCTAAATTCCTATCTAATTGTTTTAGTTGTCAAAACGTATTAAATTTTCGTAGATAGCTAAACTTCGATAATTATAATATTAAAATGTCTGATATCAGCGATATAGAACACTCCTCCACACATATAGGAGAAAGGAGAAAATGCAGTACAAAATATTTTGCCCCAAAAATCTGTGGTAATACCAGTACCCAAGGTAATACCATTAATTACAATTTTGTAGAATTTTTTATAGAAATACGAGTAATTACTGTTATTGTGTTCAATACCAATATAAATAGAATATTTATAGGTCTTGATTATTTATCGGGTGTAGAAAAAATAGCGTATGCAACTCTCATGTAATGGTTATTAAAACACTCGCATAAATCATACGAAACTCGCCTTTGGCTCGTTTCGTATCCCGGTTAATGCTCGTGTATTAATAACCATCATTACATGATCGTTGCATAATATACTATTATTTAATTTTACTTTTAGTTAAACATGTTAAATTTAAAGTTAAGCAAATATATTTTTAGGTTTTAACATGTGTTTAGCAGGTCCTGTTCGTAATAAATTCATAATATATAATTGTAATAGCGTTGTTTGTATAAAGGTAAATAGTAAATTGTACTGACCAATTTATGCTGTAAATTTTAAGAAAAAACCATTTATAGGTTATAAGACTTTTTCTTTGGTACCTACCCTTGAAAGCTGCTAAATTAACACTAAAGAGTAATATTTAGTAATATTGTTATCATACCATCAAATTTCCAGTGAAAAGAAAGTAACATTCGATTAAAATTTCATCCAATGAAATAGAATTATTACCTAAAAAACAACGATTAGATATTGGATTTTTAAATCACACAAATGAATAGTTAACCTCAAGGAAGAAAAAACTTTATTTTATAAATAGAATACAGAAAAATAAAATTTGCGAATCAAAGAAGGACCTCAAAGCTTGATCCCGCAGATATCTGTTATTTTAAAAGTACTACGTCTAATTAAAAAATATGAAGGGACTACCATTATTAATTATAAAATATTATAATGATAGTATAAAACTGTGACAATAGGTCAAATGAATAAACGAAAAGCAAATGCTTTTACTTATGCAGAATTAAAAAAACAAAACAGAACGCTACTAAAGTATAAGCATTTGCTTTCTTTTATTCATCTGACTCAATGTTTAAAAGAAAAAAGAGATTCAGAATGATATGAAGTTAAGATACCTACTGCTTTGAATTTTTTCTGTTTCAGATTATATGGATGGTTCTCCTTCATATGTTTTGTTACCTACCCAAGTTTATTCAAAATTAAGTTTTAGTTGTTTTATTAAAATATTGTTTATTTTAATTAGTTTTAATGATACAATAGATAATACAATTATTTAATATTACATTATTTATTTTACCCTTACTAAAATTAGGGGTCATAAAATTTTATATTTTGATTGGCATTTTGTTACATCTTGCACCTTGTCTGTGTTGTAAAAAATGCCAATAAAAATGCAAAATTTTAGTTTTACTAATTAAAATAGAGCTACAAAGCAAATCCCGCTAATTTTTAAATGAAATAAAATATGCAGGAATCTATATTACCGACTGAGAAATAGTTGGACAAATCCCTCCCATATGGCGCTGATAGCAAACATATTGCCATATTTATACAAAGAAACGGCAACTCTTAATTATCCTTCCTCCATGGAAGACTGAGTTCAGCTTAGAGCTACACAATACGCCGTGCATAAACGATTATAAAC